GAAGGATTAAGCCACGTGCATGGCTGGATTGATGCCATGTGCTCAGTCACAGTGAGTAATGGTGGTGTGTAAGAACGTTCCTTGTATGGGCAGAATATAGGTTCAATCTTATCTAGGTTAGAGTGCAGAGAGCTCCTTTATTGTTCAGTCATTTGGTGTGTCAGGTCTTCATATTGGTTGCTTAGCAACTTACAATGAAATACCAAAATGTGAAAATAGCTATGATTTTTAGTGAAAATGCTGATCGGACAAAATATTACTTTACCTCAAATGGCCAAACATCAGTTGTTCTAGAGTTTTTGTGGAGTCGCTTTAGGGATGTGACTGAGGTTTTAGAGTAGAGAACCTCATCACAATGCTTTAGAATAAAGAACCTCATCACAAGGCTTTGTACTCTTAAAACAAGAGTGAATATACCTACAATGTTTTATTATGTGTCTTTTCTTGCAGAATATAAATATTGCGTGTTCTTTTGCATAGTGCAGGGTACCATCATATGGTACTTTACTTGGTAGGCCTACAGATTATGTAATACTAAGAAATTATTAAATCAATTGTGCTTCGATTCAGTGTAGAAGCCCCTTTTTATCATATGATGATAAAAAAAAAAGTTGAAGAGATTGAGTGCTCACTGAGTGACCTGCAGGTGACCTGATATGAATAAGAATTAGTCTGGAGTGCAGATCCCATTTGATAAAATACAACTTGTGTATTATTCAGTAACAATTGTTCTCTGAGAGGTCAAGCATTTGAACTCCCATGGCAGTTATTTAGTCCTCTAGGCCACATCACCATGAAAGTTATATTAGCATATCGGTAAAACAAGTGCTTTTCCCATCTTTATGCAACTTACTGATGAGATTATCTTGATTGTCCAAGTTTCTCTAGACTATAGCTGTGAGAGATTTGGATTGAGAAAGAAAAAAAAATGTTCATTTCAAGATTTGAAGATTTAAAAAAATAAAACAAAAATGGGTGGGGGGGGGGGGAATGCCCTAAAAGCAAGTTCTGACCAAGAGGTCTTTTTCCTAATGTAACACTGAAGAGACCAAGCAAATGTATTTCAAGGAAGAAACTTACAGCTGAATGATGTACAATATATTCATTCCATTACATTAATACATTGTACATGAAAATGAAAGCAGTTTTATGGTTCAGAAGAGAAATAATTACATTCTCTAAAACGTGGTCACAGTTTGCATTGTTCAACATACATGTATGTCAACTTGATTATTCATAAATGGAAGTAGAGGGTATACTATACGATACATGTAGAGGGTATACTATACGATACATGTAGAGGGTATACTAGATACATTTATGAGGGTAAACTGCTAGAAATAGGAGATGCTACATGTGCAGTAGATGTACCTGTACATGTACCTGCTGGACAAGCTGCTATCATTGTTTGTCCCACTACTTTGGTAGTCTATCACACAGTTACTGTGTCAATATTGATGTCAATTATCTAATGGAGCCGCTGAGCTACTATTACAGATTATAGGCTAACCTAGTCTTATCTTGAAATCAATATTGAAATATTTACTGTAAGCTCTGTTGGAATGATGTAACTTAAGGGTCCCCATTACACTTGCAAGAAGCAACTTTATGGTGTTTTTTTATGATAATATTAATTTTTTGATCATTTTATAGCCAGCAAATCAACTTCGCAAGGTGCTCAAGTGCTCCAATAATGGTGCTCCTTGGCTTTGGTGTAGGCTACCACTTTCGTTGCTTCAGTATTCAAGGAATTCTTTCCTAAAGTTAACCATTTAACACCTACAACATGTAGGTGAAGTGTGGCAAATGAAGATTAATGTCTTGGCAAAGGACAGAAGTTTCGCGGCAGGAATCGAACCATGAGCCACGTGGGACCCAGTCTGACAAAGTATCCAGTAAACCTCCACAGACTATATCGGAATACACTGTATATACAGATATATTTGCTGTGAGATCTGGTTTAATTTCTTTTCACAAATTCCCAGTGTTCAAAATGTTCTGACAATGTGACTTTCACTAGTCAGCATGGCAAGTAAATTGTATGTTAAAGACAAATTACCATGAACTTGATAAATCTCCCAATAATGTTCTCAACCAGTGTGGGGGAGAGCATAGATTCTTATCTGTATGCTATGTGTAGATTGAACTACTGACCTCAAATATTTGAAGAAGGCGCACAATGGAAGATTCCATCTCCTCAGATCCATCTTTCTTTGTTTTCATAGTGGATTGAGGGCCATAGTTCAACACTGGAAACAATATTCTTGCCTCCAGTGATACTGTTTAGGTCAATTTATTTGAAATTGAGCCCAACAGGGTTCTTACTAAGTAAACTAATAGCAGGACAATTGAATGGAATAGCCAGCCACCAGAGATAGCTGGGGGTCTGAGGGTTGTGTAGCCCCCCACAGACCCCTTTATTTTTTGCCATGTGTGTTAATGTTTTACTAAGTTCAAATGTTCCTTAAATAAAGAAGAGTTTAATCAGTACACTCCACGCGCCTCCAAATCATTTGCATCCCAAAATTCTTCAAGATGGCCCCAAGAAAGAAGTTTCACAGTTCGTTAGATAAAGAAGGGTTTCTTCATAAAAACCAGCTCGCCTCAAAATCTTTTGCGCTTCAAAATTCTTCAAGATAGCTTTAAGAAGTTCTGATGTTCATTAGATAAAGAAGCCTTGTAAGGAAAGCCGGCAGCGCTTTCACAGCTCTTTGCTGACTTTATTTTGTATTTGGCGACAAATAACAACATTGGGGGCTTAATCAATAGCCTTCAACAATCAAATTCATAGACTGGTAATGTACCTGGCACCTGGCTTTTTACTAAGAACGCTATTGGAATATTTAGTTTCCCTCTCTACTCAGGAGCTCTTCTCAATTAGGAACAAAAGATTCATCCCCAGGAAGGAAGATGTTAGGGCAAGGTGGAGTATATCCCCTGTCTCAAGGGCAAGTTTTCCTTGTGCCTAGTGTGTTAATGAGACAAAGACAATGTACAGACAAATAAACATAATGTTTGGTATATATTTGTAATAGAAAAATGGGAGATTACATTTGTGTTATGATCGTACACCACCGGCCATCTACATGTACACTGTACCTAGGAGGTAGTTATCTAGGGATTAGTATGGGGGGGGGGGGGGGTAAAAGTAGAGTAGTAGTTTTATTAGAGAGCAGGTTTACAGAGTGTAGTTGTACAGGGAATTATAGGGCTATACATGTAATTGAATTCCTGGCTTCGAAATTACTGTAATAAAAAGTTGAATAGTAATAAGAATAATCAAACAATATGGAAAATAGTTTACTTTTAAGATTTCTCCCAGGAATGACTATGAACATTTTGACTCTGATTCAGTGAAATGAAAGGTTTTGCACCATTGCTGAGAGAAAATATGGCAAAATGCTTTCCAACTTTCATTCTTTTCAGCCTGATTGGTCCTTTATACCATGTTTCATAATACTGCTATAATACATTTTGTAGATCACCATGAGTATCCCTTGAAAAGTAATTACCACAATTCCTCCAGCTAGTATGTAACTGGGTCAGGGACTTTTTAGATGAGTTTCAAGAATCATCTTTCATGGCAGCCCCTCTCTTCCTCTCTCCACCCCTCCCTATGAAAATAGAAAGAAGAAAGTAACTTCTGAAATTCTGGAGTTGTGCTATTTTTGATCAGATGAGTCTGTGACCTTTTAATCCCCCTTTTTTTCCTTTTCTAATTTTCATTGTAGCAAGTCAATGAGACATCCCATAGTATATATTTCTTTGACATGTGAAATGTAATATTGTTATTACTAAATAGTATAACTGAGTAGAACAAGTTATTTGCATAACATTTACAGGTATTTGTAAACCTGTGTAAAATCAATGAACCGATATGACCGATATAAAAAAAGAGCGCCAACAAAATGCTAGTCCCGCAGACAGACAACGCTTGTAGTACCTGTTTATTGATTTGTGGTTCAATCCTTTGAAAGAGTCTTGCTGAGTATGCAACTAATGGACGAGGTTGAGTGAACATGGTAAAAAGAGGAGAGGTTTGTTTGCAATAATCATCTTTTATGTCCTCAGTTTTTGAAAGCATTGCCGTGCTTATCCTGTAGTCCAATGGTAATGATGACAAATACCGTTATATCTACATGCTTGAGTTTGTAGTGAAATGGACAAGAAAGGCAGATGCAATAATCTGGCACCCTTACCTCACCTGTAGAAGCATCGTCTTGTTATTGTATTCATATGCTAATAATGCTACCGTACATAAGTGTAGTGTGTATGGACAACGTGTGCTCTGAGCCTTGCTTATTGGAAAGATATTGCAGCACTTCACCAATGTGAGAATGATTTCTATTTTTTGTGTTTCTGTTCCAGAATGTGTTTTGTGGTGTTTTTTATCAGCTACTTGGAGTAATGTTGATGACTTATTGGGATCTCTTTTTTGTCTGTCGAATTTGGACCTTTGTAAAAAACTGATGTAAGCTTTATATATGTCAAAATCGCAAAGAATATAAATCAGGACAATTCAATTTTTCAAATACTTAACAAATTAAAGAGACAGGGTTGAGACTTGAGAAAGATTTTACTCCACTGGTATTTTTAAAAGCAACTTTGAAATCATGTACATGTGTACATATATAATTAAAACTAAGTGATGGAAGCTAAAAAATATTTACACATTGGAAAACAAATACATATAACACTAATAATACACATTATGGGGATGTTTAAAAAATGTTTATGTACTAAAAAGAAAAAGAAAGAAAGAATGGATGAATAAAGTTCAACCTGAACATGTCAGGAGCTTTTATAAATTATTGTTTGAGCTCTAAGAATTAACAGGTTACATGATTTGAAGGATTATTTATAAGTTCTCATTTGTATGTTCTTCATTCATATTTATCATTGTTAGTATAAACAAGACTAATCTTCATTACATCAGCTAAATGAATGGAAAAACCCTGGAGTTAACCTTGTCTTTCTTTCTTATGTCATTTTCTCTCTAGATTTCTGGATTTTCATCGATTGTCATTGGCATACAGCATTACATCATTCGCAGTCTATTCATCCATTCATTGGGTACTCTATGCACTGATGCAAGATTGGAGTTTGACCCAGTAAATAGACATTTCTACCAGGCTGGCCCAACGTGCGCTTTACTACAGAACAAACATTCGCACTGCACAAGGCACAAGCCAACCAGACATATCAAGGGACTCAGCAACAATCAGCAAGACTTGGCAGGCTCATATCTAATTGCTTTGTGAGGAAGGTTTAGGAGTGAAAGTGGTAAAGCACACTGGAGGTGTGCTAGGTTAGGTCTTCAGTGGGATTGTCAATATTTGACTTGGGCGACGCTCTGGAGAGATTGTGCTGTAAATCGAGGAAATCTTCCGCCGACATGGCTCAGCTTCGCTATGCCAAGGCGGTTGCGTGTGGCACCGCTCTAACGGCTGCGGGACTGGCTGGATACTACCTCTACACCCGTAACAACCTCAAGAAAGCTAAGATGAAGGAAAAGGTTGAGGAGGGAGACATAGTAGGAGAGGAGAATGTTGGCAGTGGAACGCAAGCTATTGAAGCACGTTTACAGCAGGAGGCTAAACAGGAGCTCAACATGGCCAATGCGGGTCATGAAGCCAACGCTAAGAAATGTGACAGCAAAAATGTTGGTTCATGTACAAACGGATGCCCACCAGACATTGAAGCAATTGAGAAGGTGCTAGAAAAACTAAGTGCTGAAGATGCACAGAACACAAGAAATGAAAATGAGAATGTAGTAAATAAAGAAAGACAAATTGAAGAGACGATAACAAATGTTGTTGATGATTTTATGATGGAGTGTAGCATGGACACAAACGCTTCATCAGGGTCCTCTCTCAATGCATCTAATGAACACATTATGGAGGACCTTCAAGCTCTGGAGGAAAGCATCCCAAATCCCATCCACGAAATCACAGCCTCCACCCAGCCACAGCCCATTCAGGAAGCAATAGTTCCAACCAAAAGACAATCCTGTGAATCCATGCGCCCACCCCTAGACAACGTAAATCGTAAGACCTCATCGATAACAAACGGCAATGTGCTAGACAATCAGACATCAACGAGAGCGTCGACGACCAATTCAAAGTCTGGAAGGAAGGCTAAGCATGTGAATAATGCTCCTGTATACAATGGGAAGGGGTCCATTGCTAGTGGTAAGAAAGGAGGTAACAAGAAGGGCAATGACCTATCCAAGCTCCAGACTGTTGATTGGGCTTCCTCTGTACTCCTGGATGAGAAGGCACATAGCTCCAATGGCACGTCTCTTGGAAACAATGAAAGGTGAGAATGCATCAACGACTGGTATTAAACAAAAATAATGATGATGATAAAATTGTTCTATGTAGGGAAATATATGGTGCTCACTACATGCTAATGAGCTATGAGTACTGATTTTGTCATATCCAATATGGTCTCTACTCTCTACATAGGCTGATTTTATTTTTATCATTGTCGTTTTATATGTGACCAGCTTTTGCGACAACTTTAGCCGGGATTATTCTGTCTTGTAATATTATAGAATCCCTACCACATAATTTTCTCAATTGAAAATCTATTTTTTTTTTGTGGGGGAAGCCTGATAATTTTGAAAAAAAATCTCAATGGATGCAAGTGCTAAATGGGGAGGAGCAGTTGGGGGGGGGGGGTGTTCAACATGAATCTCTAAAGTTACAAATGACTTTTATAAAAGTAACAGTTGGTGTACATATAGTGCCTCAAGTCCTCAGTCCATCATTGAGTCTGGGTTGAAACTTGCTCAACAATCCCTAGACATGGATAGAATACAGCTCCAACTGAAATTCGTGTTTTCCTCATCCTTTTTACTCATGTTCACTAACCTCCATAGGCAAGACATTGGTCTACATTTGCCACACTCCACCCTGGTGAGGTAAATGGGTATCAGGCAGGAATTGTTTCCCTAAAATGTCTGAAAACTGTAAAAGAAGCCATGCTAAAGCTGGGATAATATTGGAGTGTTAGACACTATGAATATGACGGACAAAGAAAGCGGACAAAATATACAGTTCCTCAGGTAGATAAAGAAACATCCCTTCACTGCTATTGTGTAAAAATGTGAAGGGATGTTCTTTTGTCTACCTGAGGAACTGTATATTTTGTCCGCCTTCTTTGTCCGTCATGTTAATAGTGAGACATAGCAGACATAAGCACTATAAAACTAGAATTCACTTTTATTTTTATTTTAATTTTTTCTTTTCTTTTTTGATTATTATTAATTTATTATTATTTTATTTTTTATTTTATTTATTTATTTTTATTATTATTAATTTTTTTTTTAGGTGGGCGGGGGGATAGGGGGAAGGGATGGCAAGAGGGTTTTTATAGAAGCTAGAAGCAACAGGGTTTGATTTGATAGGTAGGTACAATGTAAGGCAAGCGGTAAATGATGACAGTAGCAGGTGTATCATATGATGAATGAAGTCATTCTCAACTCCTCCCACAAAGTCACACATGTTATTGAGAAGGGTAAGGGCATTCTATGAAAGACCACTGCTTCCAGTCTTCCAACCCCCTCCCCCCCCCCCCCCTCAACTCCCTCCCAACCTTATCAAAATCATCTTCAGACTGAAGTTCAAAGGTAAAACTATCAACATAATTAGACTTCCTGCCAGGCAAACCCTGATTACATTTGTGAATGAGAAAAACAGTATCACAAAGAGAATAAGCACTTTTCCAGGGACAATTGTTGACTCCAGCATAATTTTTGTTAGTGCACGTCGTATTTTGGACTTTGATTTTGTCTTCTTTAATCTCTTAATGATATTTTTATTAGTTTACACATTTATATTAGGATTGTTAGACCTTGTACAAAGGTATAACTAGAGTGAAGGCTACTGGAACAGATAATTGCATCAAAACCAACTGAACTTCTCTCCTGTATACTGTACATGTAGATATGTAATGTGCATAGAAGTAAGAATTAGCAGACCATCTTTAATGAACATGTACATTGTACATTACAATATATGGAGAAGAGTTTTTTTCTGTAAGTTTATTTTTGAGGAAGAAATTACGTTTTGATACCTTTTATTTATTTATAATTTGTCATAGATCTTATGGCATTCTGCAAGAGTCTGAAATTGGCAGCATTTTCTTGTGACTTGTGCAATTTCGACACAATTTTAATGTCTCATTGGCCATAATGCCAAGTTGCAAATAACCCAATTTTTTGTTGTTCTTCAATAACGATTTGGGCAATTTGTTTGTTATTTACAGATTTTCACCTTAACCTAACTGTTCCTCTTGATGTTTTTTTTCTTCTTCAAATATCTCTCAATGCATCTTATTACTAAGGTAGATGCACCAAGCTTTAGTTGGAAAGAGTTTTTAATTCAATTTAACAAAACCTTTACTTTTTAATGGGGGAAAATCGTAACTGAGAATTTGGTGAAAATTATACAACAGGGGAACAATTGTAACTCATTTATTTAAAAGTACTAAAATATATGCTGTTGACAGATCTATTTCATTTTGCGAAACCTTCACCCCAGAAGAGTGCCAACTAATTTATGCAATGTGCATTCTGGCAATTGTAGTACAAAGTATAAAAGTAGGTGAATAAAATACTTCATCATCACACACACCTGGAAGGAAAGCATCCATAAATTTGAATACATTTACTTGATAAACATCTTCATTTTTATAGTACGCCCCATTATCAAGAAAATGGCGATGCACATGTCGTGCTGAGAAACTACACTTTCTTGCTTTATGCTTCTCTCAGAATAACATATATCTTCAGGGAGGTTTCCTTTAACTAATGTCTGTCTGAAACTGAAATATAAATCTGCAATGGAGGTTGAACCTTGTGAGCCAACTATACAAAACCCAATCTGTGGGATGTACAACACATGGCCCTTTTGTCAAGGCAGATCAAAGGAATTATCATAAAAAGTTCTGGCCTTGGAATTTAAACATGTACAGTTTAACAATAGGTGGAATTGCTGCAATGTTTGGTTATCAAGGCAAACAGATGGTTTTGAAGTGATCAATTCATTATGCACAGGTTGAAGTAGAGAGTTGCAAGCATTTTGTATAAGAAGCTTTGGCACTTGTGCATCTTAATAATAAGAAATACAGGATGTGAATAGCACAAGTGACTTGGAGATGATTTGTAGGAGTTCTGAATGTAAAGAAGTATTACATGTACATGTATATTAGAGGGGAATGATCATTAATTGAACCAAGAGAGGTGATCTATCCATCCGGTTGGAGTGGGAATTTCTGGAAGCTGTACACTTGAGAAGAATTTTTCAGGGAATTGAAGCTTTTGATCAGATGATGTGGACCTTCCCATCTTGGAATGACTTGAGTTGCTGCATTTTAAGATGGTGTTAGATCAGGAAAGGTATGTTCATGTTAAAGATAATTTAGGAGATTCATCCTCTTCAAGTCAACTTCCAACAAACCGCATAATTTGATCTGTTTATTTTAAATTAACAAAGCAAAAGCGCCTGTGAACTATATTCATTTCCTGCTTCATAATGAATTTAATTAGGAAGGGACTGCACATGATGTTGAAATCATGGGATTTGATGAAATAACTTGAGATGACTTAAAGCAATCTGCCATCTAAAAAGCCTGGTCCAGGTCAGACCTCACTGATAATGATAACTACATGTATGATAGCTAAGTCTATAACAATAAATCTCCCTCCCCCCTCCCCCCCCTCCCCCCTCCCCCCCCCCCCCCCATTGCTATGAACTAACTAATTTGAACCAGTTAATGTGAAAAATGAATTTGAAGTTGTTGCACACTGTAGGTCAGGCCTTGATGAGTTATGGTAATGAGCCTCTCTCCAAATGTTTTCATTGAGATGTTGAGATTGCTCGGCAAGCAATTTTCTGAGCGCAAACGTCAACAATAAAGTCTGCAAGCTAACAAGTTTACTCCTGTGATGTGACATCAGTTCAGAACAATTTATAATAATGATACAATAATTTGCTTTAGGCATACTACAGTAGTGCACAATGTCCATTGTACTTGATGACAAAACCCCAATCACTTTAACGTTTAGGTGTGACCCCTTTTTAATAGCATTATTATTATTTTCACATTATGTATCCCTATAGTTTATCATCATTGTAGAGGTCTGACTAGGGGTGCGTTTATCATGTTTTGCCACTCAGATTCAAAATAAAGGCCTTGTCTCTGCGCGGCTGCTGTGCGCCATTTGACCCGGGAAGCAGAGGTTTGCATGGAAGTCAACTAGGGCCAGCGCTTTTTCTTCTTGGGAGTGGTGCATGCGATGAAAAAACATTATTTTGAGCACGTAATCGCATAATACTAAACAATGAACAATACAATTGACGAGTACGCAGCTATCTGAAACGGATATTAGTCTGGGAAGGTCCAATATGTATGTGTTTCAAGACAGCTTTGCGTTTATCATCTGTCTCAGAAATGTGATTCTGGCTCTATGCACATTCAAAACGCACTTTTTTTTTGGCGTTTCTCAACCCATATCTAAAGGCGTTTGAAAACAGGCTTGCATTTATTACCATTAAAAATTGCCTAAAACGAGTTTGAAAACGCTGATTCTAGGCAAAAAAGGTACTATAAACGCACCCTTGGTCTTTCAGAGATGGTAGCTAATGATCTGAACATGTGATGGCTTAGTGATTGAATACAATGTACACATGTAACATGAAGATACTTGGCTGTGAATGTCATACATACATACTTGTGATATCCCGCTGACATTGGTACATGTATTGATAAGACAAGTGTTTGGAAATATTTGCGCTACACACATGTATACAATGTACATTGTACTTGTATTAAATACATAAAGATTATATGCTTACTCGGAGGAATTTTGCTCTTTCAATGAAAAGGGGATTAAATGATCTACATGAAGTATATATTCTTACATCTTCTGAATAAAGATCATTGTCAAAATTAACTAATTTATGCCTCAAATGTTGATGAAAAAAATTGAAAAAAACATTAAAACTTTTACTGTTATAGTAACAAATGAAATATTGAGCCCTATATAAATGAATTGCGATGATCGAGCACAAGACTGGAGTTATGACTGACCAACTTTTAAAAAGAAGCCATAGTTCAAATGGTACTTATGTTTCATGAGACTTGATATTGCTATTTTTCATTCACTAGTGGTAACTTTGGCAATGCAAAAAAATTAAGTAGATTCTATATCAATGTATTGTAAAACCTTGAACATAAAGGCCATTAAGCAACAACAACATAATTCTGGGTTAAAGCACAATTTTGAATCCAAACCAAAGCACTGGTGTCCA